AGGGGGGGGGGGGCCAGGGAACTAGTTATTTGAAATAAGAATTCTTGCAACAAAAAATAAAGAATGAAAAATACTTTTGCCAAGCTAATTCTAGATTATTATTCAACTAAATCACAAGTTTAGCTCAAAAATAAAATTCAATTTCCTTGAAAAAGTTTTATCAGAATTATAAATCAACTTTTCTAATAAGTTGGTTTCGACTTTAAGAAAACATTTTATAAATTCATTATTTTACCAGCACGCAATAAGTTTAACTAAATAATCATATAAATACATCTGTCAATTATATCGGAAAAAAATGAAATATCTACGAGTAACGAAATGAGGATATTTGTTTCAATTTTTTAACTCGCAAATTGAAAATATCTATTAATTCATTTATGTTCAATGGAACTTAATTCTGCCAAAGGTTCCATTCTTTTGATCCTTTAAATTTGCAACCCAATGTTGAATTAAAAATTTCGCTAAATCAAATTGCCAAATTTTAAAATATGAAAGGTTTACACCATTAGGTTGCAAAATATAGGATATGGATATAGGATTTAATTCGATTCTTTTATTTGTCATTTTAAAATGTATTAATTTTTTTAGCAAAAAAATGAACCAATTGAATATTAATTGTTTTATTGATTAATTGTTTAATTGATTTATAGTTCGACTAATTGATGAATCGATTTATTTATTTTATTTTTCTTAATTAGTTGATTGATTGATTGATTTCCTGGCCAGTTCTGTTCCTGACGGACCACATTCGCAAGCTCCAGGTTCTCCAACCAGTACTAGAGATACTCTCTTAGCTATCCTAGATTGACCCACAATTCAAAGCGTTATTTGGCCGATTCAAAACGGTATTCTTTTCTTTAGGCGTTTATGGGATTAAAAACTCATTGCAGTGTGCATTACAGAAGAAATATAAAAAAATAAGAAATGTTATAAATACAATCGTTCCATGGACAGTTTGCTATATTGAAAACTTTGATAGAATCTGATAAAACTCTTAAAAGTAAGTACAAAAATGGTAGGGAAAGCTGAAAAATAGTTTAAGAAGGCAAACTTTTCTTTGTATGTATATAAATAATTATATAATTTAAAAAAAAAACAGGGAAAAATTAAAAACCAGAAAAAAAAACAAAGATTAGTTAGTTTTTGGTCGAAGAAGACAAAGAAAAGCCAGAAGAAGAAGAAGAAGTTTATCTTGTTCTTGGTCGAAAAAGACAAAGGAAAAACAGAAGAAGAAGAAGTAGAAGATCACCTTGTTCTTGGTCGAACAATTAAAAGTAAAGCCAGAAGAAGAAGATGTTTGACTTGTCCTTGGTCGAAGAAGATAAAGGAAAACCAGAAGAAGAGGAAGAAGATGTTTACCTGGTCCTTGGTCGAAGAAGACATAGGAAAACCAGAAGAAGAGGAAGAAGATGACGAACAAGGAACTTAAGAATCACGTAGAAAGCGTAAACTCCATCCTAAAAATCAAATAAAAAATAAAAAGTGGAAATTCCATCCTAAAATTGAACAGTCAAAAAAAGTAAACTCTAATTCTAACTTTAAAAATGGATAAATTAAAATCGTAAAGTATATCGTAAAAATGGAAAAATCTAAACTAGTAAACTCCATCCTAAAAATGAAAAAGTTAAGAATCGTAAACCGTAATCGTAAAATCCACTCAAACCTATAGAAAATTCTCGACATGAAAAAGTCAACCTTGTTTTAGCTAGAGATGCATTAATAGTTTTAAGAAAGTAACTTTAATAATGCATACGTTTTTGTTAGTTGTTTGTACTTGTACTTAAAATTTTACAGTTCAAAATAAAGAGTAAGGATCATATAGACTTATTTTTTATTTTGAAGGTATATCTGACCTGACTAGAGATTATACAGAACTGTTCTCCGAGCTCAGGATCGGAGAAGGTAGAACGGATTGCTAGCTCCGGTATTGCTGGGAGCAGAGTTAGGACTAGGAGACACAGGAGGAGTAATCTACATTCCTGTAACCTACACATACAAACTTTAAGTAGAAATTCAACTTTGTATTACATTTCAGCAAATTATTAAAAAAAGTTGTGTCATTGATATTTAATTCGATTTTCAACGTATTTTTAAGAAACATATATTTAGAAAGAGCCATGCTGATCACCCTCATCAAAGCTTTTGGTGTCCATTGCAGTAATTTGACCGAAGTAATAGTGAGGTTTAGTGGATAGTGAGAGATTCTTTAAAAAAAAACCTTTAAACCATTAGAAAAAAACACATTGGCTTGGAAAAGAAACTTTTTTTTATAATGATGCTAGTTTTTTATCGTTGTATCATTCCATTTTACAAAAGACATTGGGTTTAGATGAAAAGTTGTAAATTTGTATGGCACTCTTTAAAGAGAGGTACAAAATTAAAATGACCACCTAAAAATGTAATGGATATCGCCCAGACTAATATCTAATAAATTAATTTCATTGAATTGCATTTTATTAAATATTTTAACTGATTTTTGATTTGATAATTAAATAGAATGATAATTGATTTCATAAATAAGTTGACTAATGATTGATTTAATTAAAATGTAGTTGATTAATTTCAATCGGAATTCGATAAACCTTGTGTCAATCGATTAATCGATTTTTACCTGGAAAGAATTCCAGAACTTCTTTTCACTAGAATCATGCAGACCAGGCAGACTATTAGATAGTTAGATAGTCCTAGCAACCTAGATATAGACTATTAGATAGTTAGATAGTCCTAGCAACCAAGATATAGACTATTAGATAGTTAGATAGTCCTAGCAACCAAGATATTGACTATTAGATAGTTAGATAGTCCTAGCAACCAAGATATAGACTATTAGATAGTTAGATAGTCCTAGCCACCAAGATATTGACAATCAGATAATTAGATAGTCCTAGCAACCTAGATATAAA